CCAACATATCTTTTTATTTATTTTTTAGAAATGAGATCTTACCAGACAGGGTGGCTCATGCCTGTAATCCCAGCACTTTGGGAGGCGGAGGCAAGAGGACTGCTTGAGCCCATGAATTTGAGACCAGCCTGGGCAACATAGTGAGATCCATATTTACAAAAAATTAAAAGTTTGCTGGGCATACTGGCAGGTGTCTGTAATCCCAGCCAGTCAGGAGTCTGAAGTGGGAGGATTTCTGGAACCCAGGAGTTCAAGGATGCAGTGAGCCATGCTTGGCTCCATATCTTTTTTTGGAGGGAGACAATTCAGCCCTTAAAAGGCTGTAACAAGGTCTATGGGTTGGACAAGCAGTAATGTTCTACCTCATACAGTCTGCCCCTTGATTGCCCGTCATTCATATTCTTTAACCCATACCTTCAGTTTCTTTTTTTTTTTTTTTTTTTTTGTGAGTTGGAGTCTCACCCGGCCACCGCAACCTCAACCTACTGGGCTCCAGCGATCCTTCCGCCTCAGCCTTCCAAGTAACTGGAATTACAGACATGCGCTACCACGCCCGGCTAATTTTTTTATTTATTGTAGAGATGAGGTCTCGCCAAGTTGCCCAAGCGGGTCTTGAACCCGCGGGCTCAGGCAGTCCACTCACCTCAGCCTCCCAAAGCGCAGGACTACAGGCTGAGCCACCGAGCCCGCCCATACCTTCATACAAAAAAAACAACACCAAGCAGGAAGAATCACAGACATATCCACACACTCCCTGGAGGGAAACTCCAAAATTAGCTCTATCTACATTTGATGGTATGGAGCTGCCTTAGTTGGTCACAGAATTCATAACCTCCAAATGAGATTGGTTTGTGCTGTAGATGTATTTCTTTCTCATTCATGTCTGGCTCCTCCCTGTTCTTTTTTTTTCTTTGAGTCAAAGTCTCACTCTGTCACCCAGGCTGGAGTGCAGTGGTACACTCACAGCCACTGCAGCCTTGACCTTCAGGGCTCAGGCAATCCTTCCACCTCAACCTTCCAAGTAGCTGGAACTACAGGTGTGTGCCACCACACCCAGCTACTTTTTTGATTTATTGTAGAGATGAGGTCTTGCCAGGTTGCCCTGGCTGGTCTTGAACCCCTGGGCTCAGGCAATCCTCTCACCTTGACCTCCCAAAGTGCTAGGATTATAGGTGTGAGTCACTGCACCAGGCCTCCTCCCTGTTCTATGATCTGTGGTCTAAATGCTAAATTTGACCATCACTAAACCCAATATGGAAAGTGGAAACCCTGGGTCCTTGCCCCAGGGCCTGTCAATAACAGCAGTCTGCACTTGTGGATGATAATAGCAAATACTTGCTCCATATGTATATATGCCGGACACTGGTTTAATACTCAGAGAGACAATGTCACTTGCCCAAAATCACAGCTAATGAGTATGAGTCTGAAATAGATCAGAACTTGTGCACATAGCCACTGTACGATGTGTCTTTTCTGAATAACCATGTGAAATGCATTCTGTGTTGGACTTTGTGGATGAGGAAAGAGGCCTAATCTAGCATTTGTGGATGATAAGGTTTATGACAAGACAGAAAACCTTAGGTGAGCCGGGCTCCTTTCATTCACATCAACAGGGAGAAAGAGGAAGTTGTAACACCCAAGAGGAGGTGGTAACACCACCTGGGGAGACCCCACCTCAGTGAGTCAGTTCAATTCAGGTCAGGTCCTGGAGTCAAGGTGACAAGCCTGAATGTCTTCTGATAACTCTCACGTTATCTCAATGGACTCAGGGTTTCAGTAACTTATAAGTTGGAAGCAAAGATATTGCAATGTTGGGTCCTGTACAAACTTTTTTCTACCATAATTAGCCTAAAGACCACACCTGCATTGTTCTGGCAGCTTCCCAGTTTCAAACAGGTCACACCCTGTTTGATTTTAGCCCCAGTGTTCTCTCTATGACCACTTTGCTCTGTACTGTTGAGAAACACAGGTTTTAGACCAAGTCAGCTGGAAATCTCTTATGTCTAAACTGCCTTGTGTAGAGCTCCAGGATATGCTTCTGTTAAAGCCTGCTCGGGAAAGACTGGCTGGAAAACTCGCATTCTCTGGGGAGAAGAAGCAAGTGCTTTGGAAGACCTCAGAGGGTAGAAGACCCACATTCTTTTGACACCTCCCAGATGTCCTCATTCTTGTCATTGAGTCTGATCTGATCAACTAGTGGCCACACCTGGACATTTTTTTCTTTTCTTTTCTTTTTTTTCACAGCTGTAAGCCACATCTTTTTTTTTTTTTTTTTGAGTCGGAGTTTCACTCTATTTCCCTGGCTGGAGTGCAGTAGCACACTCCCAGCCACCACAGCCTCGACTTTCTGGACTCAGCGGTCCTTCCACTTCAGCCTTCTACCTGTAGCTGAAACTATAGGTGCGCACCACCATGCCCAGCTATTTTTTTTTTTGAGTTGGAGTCTCACTCTGTCACCCAGACTGGAGTGCAGTGGCTGCTCCCGGCCACCACAGCCTCGACCTGCTGGGCTCCGGCGATCCTTCCACCTCAGCCTTCCAAGTAGCTGGAACTACAGGCACACGCTACCACGACCGGCTAATAATTTTTTGATTTATTGTAGAGGTGAGGTCTCGCCAAGTTGCCCAGGTGGGACTCGAACCCGTGGGCTCAGGCAATCCACTCACCTCAGCCTCCCAAAGGCGCAGGATTACAGGCTGAGCAACCGAGCCTGGCTTATTTTTTTTAATTGTAGGGGGTGAGGTCTTGCCATGTTGCCCAGGCTAGTCTCAAACCTGTGGGCTCAGGCAATCCTCTCACCTTTGCCTCCCAAAGTGCTGAGATTATAGGCGTGAGCCACCACACCCAGCCACACCTGGACTTTGGCTTAGCAACACACTTCAGGTGTTGGGCCAGCCTAGACTTAGGATAATCAAGCTCACCAATCACATCTAGACATAAGATAACCTTCAGCAGGAGTACAGTGTGGTCCACGAGAGTGCTAAATAATGATGGTTCTGCTTTTGCTCATGGCTCCTGGTCACATCCTGGGGAGCTAGAACTGAACTCCTTCCTGCTTTACATGACTTTAGCTGCTCTGCTTGTGCTCAGTCATATCTTCAAAGTCTCATCCTTCTTGGGGCCTTTGATTTGTCCCAAGGGATCCCAGGGAACAGCTTCATTCACTGCCTCACTCCACAAACCACGGGGTTTCTGTCCCAGTGTGAAGACTTCTTACCACTCTCCACTTCCAGTGATACAGTAGTGAGTTCCACACATTCCCTGAAGGTCTGTTCTGTGCAGCCACCCCACTCCTGGAACTAATTTCTGTTGTAAGCAGAGTTGGAAGGAATAAGTTGTACATGTGCTCAAATATAAGGCGATTTCTGGGATTTCTTGGCCAGGACTGAAGTTTTCTTGGGTACTCTTTGGGCATCTGTTCAAGTGTCCTCTGGTTATCAGGGGTTACTGGCTTCCCCCTGCATCAGCCTGCCTCTTATCAACCTCAGCCACTCCAATCCCTGTTCTTTCTTTTTAAAATTTTATTTATTATTATTTTGTTTGTTTTTTGAGTTGGAGTCTCACTCTGTGCTCACATGGTCACAGCCACTGCAGCCTCGACCTGCTGGGTTCAAGTGATCCTTCTGCCTCAGCCTTCCAAGTAGCTGGAAATACAGGTGTGTGCCACCACGTCCAGCTAATTTTTTTGATTTATTGTAGAGATGAGGTCTCACTAAGTTGCCCAGACTGGTCTCGAGCCCATGGGCTTAGGCGGTCCTCTCACCTCAGCCTCCCAAAGTGCTGGGATTATAGGCATGAGCCACCGTGCCTGGCCTATTTTTTGTGTAGAGACATGATCTCGTTATGTTGCCCAGGCTTGTCTCCAATTCTTGACTTCAAGTGATCCTCCCATCTCGGCCTCTGAAAGTGCAGGGATTACAGGTGTGAGCCATCACCTCTGGCCCTCTTTTTCAGCATAACCTGCCAACTGCCTTCAGGGTCTTCTAGTGAAAATACCCAAGAGAATTTGATTGGCCCAACTCACCTTTTAGACCAGACTACATTGTCATAGGCCATGGACAGTGAATGGACAGGCCACCGTGGAGCTGGGCATCCTTCTCAAGTTCTGTCAGCTGTGGCCAGTGGTTGAGTCCTTATGCCAGGACAGTTTTCTCCACAGGGCATATAGGCGGGGCATGCACAGGACGGACATCTCTAGAAACTGGATCCCCAATAAATAGGTACATATACTTGGACACACCATATATGGGCACCCACATATGTGTCCTCAAAGTCCATAGAAACCCACTTTTAGCATACAATGTGTATATACACAAAGTATATACACACACAGGTCAAGTTCACAGCCTACATGCTACATACACACACACCATTATACGTACACAATATTACACATACACTACAGTGTACACATGTCCATTTATATGCCTACCCACATGTATACAGAGTGCATAGATATCCATATGTGTACACACAATACATGTATATCCACCTGTGCAGACAACCACATATGAACACAAGACATACACACCCCCATAAACACCCTCCAGAGACATACCTGCAGGCACGTGTGCAAGGATATACCAAGGATTTACAAATATAAAATAAGCCCACATTCTAGCCGGGCATGGTGGCTCAAACCTGTAATCTCAGCACTTTGGGAGGCAGAGACAAGAGAATTGCCTGAGCCCACAGGTTCAAGACCAGCCTGAGCAACATGGCGAGACCTCGTCTCTACAATAAATCAAAAAATTAGCTGGGCATGGTGCAGTTCCAGTTACTTGGAAGGGTGAGGCAGAAGGATCACCTGAGACCAGCAGACCTAGGCTGCAGTGGCCGTGAGTGTGCGACTACACCCCAGCCTAGGCGATAGAGTGAAACTCTGACTCAAAAAAAAAAGCTCACACACAATGCTGGGCACAACCACATGGTCACATGCCCGCACCACGCTGACCTCGACCTCCCAGCTAACGTGTCCTGCTTTCCTTCCCCTGACAGCCATGGTCAGCACTCAGGCGCCTTTCTTCTTCCCCATGGCCCAGTTCATCCTCTTTGTCTTTGTGGCTTCCACCATATTTCACCTTCAGCAGCGACTGGCGAAGATTCAGCCCACGTGGATGTTGCACACACAGGGGTCAGGGCCCACCACGCAGGGGTCCACACACAGCCAGCTCCAGGGTATGTGGACCATCAACTCCCAGGGCCGCCTGGGGAACCAGATGGGCGAGTACGCCACGCTATATGCCCTGGCCAAGATGAACGGGCGGCCCGCCTTCATCCCCCCCGAGATGCACAACACCCTGGCTCCCATCTTCAAAATCACCCTCCCGGTCCTGCACAGAGCGACGGCCAGCAGGATCCCCTGGCAGGACTACCACCTGAACGACTGGATGGAGGAGCGCTACCGCCGTATCCCCGGGGAGTTCGTGCGCCTCACGGGCTACCCCTGCTCCTGGACCTTCTACCACCACCTGCGCCACGAGATCCTCCGGGAGTTCACCCTGCACGACCATGTGCGCGAGGAGGCTCAGGCCTTCCTGCGGGGCCTGCAGGTGAACGGGAGCCGGCCGGGCACCTTCGTGGGGGTCCACGTGCGCCGGGGGGACTATGTCCACGTCATGCCACGGGTGTGGAAGGGCGTGGTGGCCGACCCGGGCTACCTACAGCAGGCTCTGGACTGGTTTCGGGCTCGCTACAGCTCCCCCATCTTCGTGGTCACCAGCAACGGCATGGCCTGGTGTCAGGAGAACATGGATGCCTCCCGGGGAGACGTGGTATTTGCTGGCAATGGCTTGGAGGGCTCGCCCGCCAAGGACTTTGCACTCCTCACGCAGTGTAACCACACCATCATGACCATTGGAACGTTCGGGATCTGGGCTGCCTACCTCGCGGGTGGAGACACTGTCTACCTGGCCAACTACACCCTTCCAGACTCTCCGTTCCTCAAGATCTTTAAGCCAGAGGCAGCCTTCCTGCCAGAGTGGACAGGGATCGCCGCAGACCTGTCCCCCTTACTTAAGCACTAATGCTAGCCTGTCCCCCTTCTCCTTTTCTGGATCCCTCAAGAGCAGTTCTGGGGCGTAAGAAGTGCTTTGTTACATGTCCCGGGACACTTTCTTCTTGCTTGAGGATGCTTTGGGCTGCTGCAAGTCACAGAAGTCCCAGCTAACGGATTGAGCAGGACCAGAGGTGACCCAGCTCCAGGGCTAGTTCATTCAACAGCTCAACAAAGTCATCAGTGACCCTGGCTCCATCTCCCTTCGTGCTGTGACATTATCTCCTCTTAGCCCTGTCACCTCATGGTCTCTAAGGGGCTGCTGCAGGTCCAGGTGTCACATGCAGATAACCCCTTCAGAAGCAGCAGGAACAGGCTCATTCTTATCTCAGGTCCCTTTTTGAGAGTGCAGGAAACCTTCCTGTTCCCTCCAGCAACTTCTCCCCAAATCTCATCAGTGGAGATTGTCACATGCCCACGTGGCCCATTAGGAGGCCAGGTGAACGAGACCCCTGGGATTGGCTCAGCCTCAGACCCCGAGGCCTGGGAGTTGGCCAGCCGCTTCTGAAGGATATGCAGCTTGCAGAAAACTGGGGTGGCGTTTCCAAGGAAGAAAAGCAAAGGCCTCAAGCACTTGTGTGGGTCACTGACTACACAAAGACACTGGGCAAAAGACAGTGGGGCGTCCACAAACCCACAGTCTCCTCACCGAGCCAGGTGTCCTTGGGTCTGTGTCTACCCAGAGGGCTCGCTTTTTCCTAGTTAGCCAATCTGGTGGGGGGTCTTTGCGGTTTGCACAAAAGCTCCATACTGGCTAGTGTGGTTGCACGACCATACGCCTCACCTCAAGCCTGGCTTCCTAGGGCTTGATTGTTGCCAGGGCCCAGGGTGGTTCTGTGAACTTGAGGACATTCCATCCATCTCTTCGGTAAATGTTTGTGGCACGACTGTTACATGTTAGGCAGTGAAATGTCCCACAGTATCCTTCCCTCTTAGAGGATACATTTGTGACCATTTCATAGACATCAAACAAATATTATTTATTTAGCCACCATTATGAACACAGTTGTAGAGTGGGCTCCTTCGTTCTGTCTGGGTGCTTCTCCTGGGGGCCTGCTCTTGTGGCAAGGTACCCAGGAACGGGGTGCCACCCTACTTCCTAGACTAAGAGGGCCCTGCCTCAATAACTCAATTCAAGGAATCCCCTTTCAAATTTCCAGTCTTATCTTGTACAGCTTGAATGCGTGGAGGTCACTGATCCAGGTTTTGCTGTTTTTAACCGGACATTAATTTACATATTAATTTGGGGTCTGACCAGGCGCAGTGGCTCACGCCTGTAATCCCAACATTTTAAGAGGCCGAGGTGAGAGGATTGCCTGAGCCTGTGGATTCGAGACCAGTCTGGGCAACATGGTGAGACCTCATCTCTACAATAAATCAAAAAAAATTAGCCAGGAGTGGCAGCGTGCCTGTAGTTCCTGTTACTTGGAAGGCTGAGGCGGAAGGATCACCGGATCCTAGTAGGTCAAGGCTGTGGTGGCCAGGAGCATGCCACTGCACTCCAGCCTCGGTGACAGAGTGACTCTACCTTAAAAAAAAAAAAAAAATTGGGGATCTGAGGTATCACCGTCCGTTGGTGAGAGTGGAGATGGCCTCTATCTGCACAGCCCAACATGGTAGCTACTGACCACATGTGGCCATTGAACACCTCAAGGCACCAAGTATGACTAAGGAATGGATTTTTTTATTGTATGTCATTTGATTTCATTTAAACTTAAGTAGCTGGACGGGGTTAGCGGCTACCATCTTGGACAGCACAGGGCTGAATGTTTTGAAGAGTAGATCAATGAAACAAGATTGAAGCCACTGCCTCTGAGATTTAGTGGCAGTCAAGGTGTGTGTCAATCACTGTACTATGAGACAAATTGATGTGCACAGTGACTATCTCTGATCTACTGTAACCAAACTCAGGTTTGGCTGCTTGTCACCCAAAACCAAACTTGAGAAACAAGCACTGGTGTAAGGAAAACACATTTGCTAAGTCAGCACTTGAGGAGACGGCAGACTTATGTCTCAAAGGCCATCTCAAGTCAGTACAGATTTCAAACTCTTTTTATGTTAAGGGCAGGTGGGGAGAAGAGGTGCCTGGGAAGCTTCTTTTTCCTTGCTTAGGTCACAATGTTTCTTTAATTTTTTTTTTTTTTTTTAGTTGGATTCTCACTCTGTTGCCCAGGCTGGAGTGCAGTGGCAGGCTCCAGGCTCCTCGACCTGCTGGGCTCAGGCAATCCTTCCACCTCAGCTTTCTGAATAGTTGGAACCGCAGGTGTACACCATCATGCCCAGTTCTTTTTTTTTTTTTTTTTGGAGTTGGAGTCTCACTCTGTCACCCAGACTGGAGTGCAGTGGCCGCTCCCAGCCGCCACAGCCTCAACCTCTGGGCTCCGGCGATCCTTCCGCCTCAGCCTTCCAAATAGTTTTGTTTTTAATTGTAGAGACAAGCTCTTGTGAAGTTTCCCAGGCTGGTCTCGAAGCCCTGGACTCAAGCAATCCTCTGGCCTCCACCTTGCTGTTCTTCAATTCCTAGGCTTGAGCAGTCCTCCTACCTGGATCTCCCAAAGTGCTGGGATTACAGGCGTGAGGCACTGCACCCAGCCCTGGATTCTTATCAAATAATATTGAGTCATCTAGGAGAGAAAAAAAAAAAGCTCTTAAAAGAATTAAAAGATTCAAGACCCACCTGGGCAGGCGAGACCTCATCTCCACAATTAAATCAAAAAAATCAGCCGGGCGTGGTAGCATGTGCCTGTAATTCCAGCTACTCAGAAGGCTGAGGCGGAAGGATCGCCGGAGCCCAGTGGCCACTGCACTCCAGTCTGGGCGACAGAGTGAGACTCCAACTCAAAAAAAAAAAAAAAAAAAGAAAAGAAATGTAAAGCTTAAAAATTAAATTAATCAATGTAAAATGAAACAATAACAGCAAAAAAGAAAAAGCCAACATTGAACTTTACCTTATAAGTGCCCTGTCAGCAGGAATCGACATAAAAAAAGAAACTGTTTTGTTTTTTTGAGTCAGAGTCTAACTCTGTTGCCCAAGCTGGAGTGCAGTGGCATGCTCATGGCCACAGCAGCCTTGACCTGCTAGCTCAAGCGATCCTTCCACCTCAGCCTTCCACGTTGCTGGAACTACAGGCGCGCACCACCACGCCTGGCTAATTTTTTTATTTATTGTAGAGATGAAGTCTTGTCATGTTGCCTAGGCTGGTCTTGAATTCATGCGTTCAGGCAATCCTCTTGCCTCTGCCTCCCAAAGCTCTGGGATTATAGGCATGAGCCACCGTGCCCAGCAAAAACGAAAAATTTTCAACCATAAAAGGACAAATATCAAGAGCTTTGATAATATGGTTGACTGAAGATGAAGAGGAATCTTCGTTGAGTGTTGGTTTGGCCAAATCTATCCCTTGTCCCATGCACTTCTCCTAGAGAGGTATCCTGTAGATATTCTGTTCCAGCACGTAGGGTAATTATTAGGTGTATATGTGCAGAGTTATTCAAGGATTGATAGTAATGGCACAAAATGGGGAAAACCAGCAGGTGCAGTAGCACATGCCTGTAGTCCCAGATACTCAGGAGGCTGAGGCAAGAGAATCGCCTGAGCCCAGGAGGCTGCAGTGAGAGTGACAGTCATGTCTCGGCACTCCATCCAGCTGAATGACAAAGCAAGGACTAGACACTACAAAAAAAAAAAAAGGAAAAAGACCTAACTATCAATAGGAAGCAGATTCAATTATGGCACAGCAACCAAAGAAATATCGAGCCGATAAGAAGAAGCTGCAAATCACCATTCATCTCATATGACAGCCTGCAGTTAGGGAAGCCAATATACTATATCATCTGTGCTTCTGTGTGCATAGATCAATCTAGAAGGATATACAAGAACGGATTAAAATGGTGACTTTATGTGGGGGACAGGAGTACATGTCACCTTTTGCATGGTGTTCCGTATGCAAGTCTTACATAATAAAATGAAAATACCAGACACATCATGGAAGTAATGCACACTATATCTTTAAGCACAGTCTATATCAACTACCCATGCCCTCTCCCATATTAGAGTCTTACAGACACACAGAACTATTTATGTTTGTACAAAAAGGGAACCAGACAAACCTTGGTGACTTCCTTTATTATGAATCTTATTTCATCTGTGAGGTATTGGACACTCTTCCAAGTCACCCCATGCATATAGATCTGTTTCCTACTTTTGGTAATTGTAAAAAAATTCCATTGTATTGATCCACAATGGAAAATCCATACTCTAACGAAGGTTTTATTTGTTTACTTATTTTTTATTTTTTGAATCAGAGTCTCACTCCGTCACGCACACTGGAGTGCAGTGGCACACTCACTACCACTGAAACCTTGACCTGCTGGGCTCAGGCAATCCTTCCGCCTCAGCCTTCCAAGTAGCTAGAACCGCAGGCACTTGCCACCATGCCTGGCTAACTTTTTTGATTTCTTGTAGAGGTGAGGTCTCGCCAAATTGCCCAGGCTGGTCTTGAACCCGTGAACTCGGGCAATCCTCTCGCCTTCTCTTCAGTACTTCTCTCGTGAAGTGCTGTTTCATCTGAGTGTTTTCTTGTCTGCTGCACCATTGTCTTCTTGGTCAACCCAAACCTGAAACTTACTTTTGATTTTTCCCCTTTATTTTCTGCCCTCAGTTGGTCAGGAAGTCTTTTTTTTTTTTAATTGCAACATCATATATGAAGCATTCATAAAAACACATATAAATTTAGCTGGGTATGGTGGCTCATACCTATAATCCCAGCACTTTGGGAGGCTGAGGTGAGAGGATTGTCTGAGCCCATGGATTTGAGACCAGCCTGGGCAACATGGCGAGACTAGTTCTCTACAATAAAACAAAAACTTAGCCAGGTGTGGTGGCACTTGCCTATGGTTCCAGCTACTTGGAAGGCTGAGGCAGAAGGATTAAGTGAGCCCAGCAGGTTGAGGCTACAGTGGCCATGAGCAGCG